TAGGGTTTAGGGTTTAGGGGGAACACAATGTCAGAAGGACAGCAACCTGAAGACAGCGACAGTAATGAGAGATACAGGGCCAAAACATTTCAGGAGATAGGTCCTCAATATTCAAAGCCCGAAGGTACTACAGCCTAATTTGTCTTAGTCTTTCAATCTCAAGTTCTGCAAGCATTGCCACCAACTACTATGGGCATCTCGCTGTCGCTGATGCTAAGTGCGATTAGCAACTCTTTTTGACGGTCTGTAGACTACTCCAAGGGGGCTCTTACTCTGGATCCGTCTTTGAGGTATACAACCTCGAGGGTTTAGGGTTTATAGGGCTTNNTAGGGCTTCAAGGGTCTAGGGTTTAGAGGGCTCCATTCTGATCTGGAATGTTCAATCTGGGCTTACCGGCCGGCCCAAGCTTCAGGATGCACGGCTTGTCGCACATCTATGTCAATTCAGGCTTCTTGCTTCTCAGAAAATCTAAGCAGAAGAGTTTCAGTTTCAGGAATGGTGGCTATCTGGACCTCAGGAACCCAAGGCCCTACAGCCGAACACCTTGAAACCCAACGTGTGCAAAGCCCGCAAATCCAGTTCGCCCCGACTAATTAGGAAACCTGCACACGAAGCAGTTGGGACTTTCGTTTTTGCCCAAGTTCCTGCGAGAATGAAACGGCTCACCATACGACTTGCGCAAGTGGCCACAGAGCGAACCGTCCATGAGCCTACCCTAAGGGTATTTGGGGGTAGGGTTCAGGGTTCAGGGTTCATGTTCCAAGGGACCCGATAATCAGGTAAGTAGGTGTGGGGTAGTAGTTCTGTAGGATACCATTTGGGAGTGTGAACGAACCCGCTTAATTACACCCGGGCCATCCCTAAACCCGAAGCCTCAACCCTGAAAAACTTCAGAACACCCTCATAAGACCGTTGTACAACACTAATATATCACGAGTATATGATTCTTAGGTACCTTGACGTTTTGTCAGGGCTGCTACGAATGACGCTTTCTTCTGGGAGCCCCGTTTTGGATGTTGTGATGTCGATGCCGGCCTAGTGGTGCTATTCCTCATGGCTCTGTACTATAAACAATTACGTGACAACCACACCCAAAAGCTCAAATCCAATTTCTAAGGCGAAATCATATGGTAATGTATAGATAATCAAAACTAGTTTAGTTTTAGTCTCGCCAAACCTAACCTAGTCTAATACAATGTATCAAAAAAGACCATCTACTGTGCTATGGTATAGTTTAATTAATAAACGACAACACGACATCATACCTCGCAAAAACGTATACCGCCGTAGTAAATGAGTAACATAAATATGCATAGGCTTCGGGGTTTGTGTCCGTGTAATTATATATATATAATATATATGTATAAGGAAAACACGCTAACTATTCAGACCCCTATGTTAGACCCAGAGCAGCTCTCAGATGAACTGAGATCCGTCAGAGCCTGTGGCCTCCCCGTTGCAGCGCACCTGGCAATGCCAAAAGCTCCGGTTTAGGGTTGGGAGCAAGGTCATGCTGTTGTTGACTTCATGTTTCTGATGATCTCAACCGCGATTTTAACCAAAGAATGGGGCTTTCAGGGTTCGGAGGAGACGGCTTTATGTTCATGGTCTCCGATCGAAGGCTCCCTGCGTGAGCTTGCGGCTTTCCTTTGGAAGCCGGGTTTGAAATCCGGACTACTCTCGAAGTATTATGTGGCGTTCTCTAAATTCCGGTCACTTTGCAGGTCCCCAAGATAGTACGGCAACCTTGTAAATCGGACCCTAAACGAGACCTACCCACGTGTAATTCGTACCCCTTCGTATCTAAGCATCCGCGTAGCTTCACAAGACCCAGTCTATGGATACGTATGAAGGTCGCTCAGATTTCCTTCAAGCTTCGATGCCCTAGCCCACCCTGAACCCTTAAACTAAACATCCCAAGCTTCTAAAATCCGAATCCAACAACCTACACCCTAAAGCAAGCTTCATGCCAGGTGTGCATCGGGTCCCTGCGCGAGCCGCAGTGCCTGGCTCTGCCCAGCTTCTGTACTCGGTCGGGACACCAGATCCAGTAGCAGCCTCAAACACGTGGCGGGGGGCCCGGGGGCCCTGCACGCTGCAGCCGACAACCCAAAGCCCAAGCCTTTTTTGGAGCGGAGACTGCAATGCACTGAGCCCTGAATCCCTTCACCCAAGCTCCACACGTGCCTAACCTCTGCCCTTAAGCCCCATCCCGAAGCGCTGAACCCTTCATCTTACACCGCCCACGCCACAAAACCCGAAAGCATACAGCTCGTCCTAACAGCAGCCTTGCAGGTTTGGCAGGAACGCTTTGAAAATCTTGTCATGAGCTTTTCAATCGGTCTGGTAGTTGTTGATGAGTACTTAACGGTATTATGGTTGGTGTTTGAGCTTTATGTAAAGCATATGTTTCAAGGTTGCTAGAGCTAGAGGTTGAACCAGGGGGTCCTTCTAGTCAGGACGCCAATACTCCGCTCGTCAAGGAACAGGAGCTTAATTAGCTGCTGAAGTTACCATACTCGGGATGCACAGGAAGTGCAAGTGCTTTCTTAATTATGGTAGCTTATGCTACATTAACACCAACTTAAAGTCCATGAGTAGGGATCCGTCAGGTATGTCAGTATGGTCGAATTTGTTTAAAGGGGTGTCGGTTTATGGTCCTCATTATCAGCAATGGGGGACGAATGCAAACTCCAAGCACTGGGATTGTGAATATAAAGACCCTGAATCAGCCGCTTCATATTACGAACCCCTGAATCAATCATATACCAGCCTATAAATCATGGCCCTAGCCTTCGTGGGGGGGGA